ATGAAGGAAGGGAGAGAGACAGAGGGACTGGGAGGGAGACAGAGGTACAGGGAGGGAGAGAGACAGAGGGACTGGGAAGGAGACAGAGGTACAGGGAGGGAGAGAGACAGAGGTACAGGGAGGGAGAGAGACAGGGTCAGGGAGGGAGAGAGACAGAGGGACAGGGAGGGAGAGAGACAGAGGGACAGGGAAGGAGACAGAGGGGAAAGAGGTAGAGAGACAGAGGGACAGCACCCGTGACCCACCCCCAGTGCCGCCAGCCCGGATCATGGGCGTCTGTATCCATGACACACAGGGAGGCCCTGGCATGTGAACCCGGGGCCTTCTCCATGTAGATCCAGCTGCGCCACCACTGCGCCACCTCCCGTCCCCTGAAATTGGTGTTGGTACTATTATTAGTAGTAGTATTCTGATAATAATAATTATTTTTCTGAGAATAATAATACCAATTCTGAATTGGTATTGTTATTCTGAGAGCTCTGTGTCAGGAATATGGGCTCTTTCTGAAGAGAAGTTGAAGAGCAATGGTGAGGTCATTATAAAACCAAGCTAGGAGAAGTTCTGTGGTTTCACAGGCTCTTCTCAAATACCTCAGGAGGGCGAGGAGGCAGGCAGGGGTGGGCCTGGGGCGGGGGATGGAAGCCAGCTCCCTTGAACCAGGAAGGCCTCCGTGCAGGCTGCTCTAGAGCAGAGGTGTGTGGCCGACTGTCCCCTCCCTCCTTGCTGGCCTCTACAGGATGGGCAAGAGTGCAAGGACAGAGTCACTGTCACCCTCAGCAACCTTCATGGCAAGAAGCAGCACATCCTCCTTGAAGTCACGAAGGCACAGAAGGAGCAAAAAGGCCCACAAGTTAAAGGGCAATAAGCGAGGTACGGAGTTACGTCAGGAGCTTGTCCTTTTTCTTTCTCTTCCTTTTCTTTTCCTCTGTCTTTTCTTTTCTTTTTTTGAGAGAGATTTGTGCTATAGGGTACATGCTCTTGCCAGAGACAGAAAGCAAGAAATCACCACCCCCAGAAGAGATAAAGATGCCACAATCCCTTCTCCTGCATTCTCTCAGGATCTTGGGCATGCACAAATGCACATGTGCCTGTGTTTTAAGCCGCTGGATCTGGGACTTGAACTGCGGTCTATCGACTATGTGGGAGTCCAGCAATGTAACCACCATACTATCTGCTGGTCCCAGGAGCTTGTCCATTTTTCTTTTTGGCTAGGTTTTTGCTATAGGGTGCATGTGCTCACCAGAAAGAGAGATAGACAGAGACAGAAATCAGCCCCCGGGGGGATGGCCACGCCGCAATCTCTTCTCCTCCATTCTCCTCTCAGGATCTTGGGCATGCACAAATGCACATGTGCCTGTGTTTTAAGCCGCTGGATCTGGGACTTGAACTGCGGTCTATCGACTATGTGGGAGTCCAGCAACGCAGCCATTATGCCATTTGCTGGTCCCCTGAGGAGCTTGTCCATTTTAAATGCTTGTTCTATGTAGAGCTATTTATCTGGTATGTTAACATGTATTAGGGCAAAACTGTGGTGTTCTAAGAGGGTTGTCAATTTAAAACTCACGACACCCCAGGATTTCAGGACAGCACACGCCACTGCTCTGTGCTCCGTGAGGGCCAGGCCGAATCGGCTCTCTGCTCACCTGTGGCATCCAGCACAAAGCCCAGCAGGGGGAGGGCGAGGGAAGGGCCTGCTGGATGAACGAAGTAACTGATTTGGCATCCTCAGGCCAGTCCTTAGTCACTGTAGAGACATTATTGGAAAGGAGGTTCAAGAGCCAGTCCTATAGCCTAGTGGCGAAGGGAGCCAGATCCCACTTGACTGCAGTTCGAATCCTGGCCCTGGCAGCTTGAAAAACATGCTGTGTGCATGCCCCAAATCCCAACAGGATGGAGAAATGGAGAAAGGATTGTGGGGTCTCTACACCCCTTTGGAGGGTGATTCCCCCCCCTCTAACTCATGTCTCTCCAGCTCTCTCTGGTGGACAACTATGCCCTCTGGCAATTAAAAAAAAAAAAAAAAAAAAAAAAAAAGAGGTAAAAGCTTTGAAATTCCTGTTCAGGTGGGGCAAGGTGAGCAGGAGGGAGGAAGCGGCTCCCTTGTAGAAGGCAGTCCTCCTTTTCACTCCTTCAGCATCCTGATGGGCCTTATGGGAAGCCCAAGGACCACACCTGCCAGGCCCAGGCTCTCAACCTAAGGTTTTAGTCCTAAAGCTACAAGGAATCCTATTTCCTCTGCATTACTTGGGCGGGCCTGGAGCTGAGCCTGTAGTGGGGAACAGCCAGAGAAGAAACCAAATAGGCCGAGGGCTTCGCGAGCTTCAACAGGCTAAGGGTGGTGGGACCTGAGCACAGACGGCAGCTAGACCAGAAGCTGCTCCGGCAGTATTTAAGTGGGAGGAGCCGAACGCTGTCAGGGAGCAGACAGGAATGAAGTAGGAGGAATGGTCTTACGATGCCGCAAAGCAGGCTGGACCGGACTCGTGCATTTATGGGAGCAATGAACGCTGTGCTGGAGGCGTTTTACAGGGGCTCTCCCAGACAATGCAGACGTATGCACACACACGTGCATTCACACATGCACACGCACACACGAATGTATTATAAACTTCCCTGATGAAAGGTAGTGATGCACATAACTTATCAATAATAATAAAATACACCAAGCTCCTTACTGTGCATTCCATGTAGCCATCTGATTGTCACAGGAAGCTTTGGCTGACTTTTGCCCAGCCCTGGTATGGCCCAGCCCAGCCTATGGACATGTCATGAATGAGAGCAGTCCCATGACTCGAAGCTGGCTGAGGCTTTTGTTTTCCTTAACAAGCAACATGACAGTGAAATAAGGAAGACAGAGACCAAGACATCTGCTGGAATGTCACTGGGTAGGGACACTTGTGCTGAGTCAGGTAAGAGTTTTCTCACACTGGGAGGGCATTTCCTCATTCTTCTCTTCTCCCTGGCATGTACTGCCTCTTCTCATCTCCTCCCCATAAATACTTGGCTTCCTGAGTGGCAATATGGTTGCCATCTCTGCTCTAGTTCAGAGATAAGTAACACTTTTTTTTTTAAACAATTTTTTTTAGAGAGATTTTTGCTATAGGACATGTGTGCTTGCCAGAGAGACAGAAAGCAAAAAATCACACACACCCAGGCTATTGGCCATGCCACAATCCCTTCTCCTCCATTTTCCTCTTGGGATTTTGGGCATGCATGTACACATGCCTGGTGTGAGTTTTAAGCCACCAGGTCCAGGACTCGAACCACAGTCGACTATGTGAGAGTCCAGCCACATAACCATTATGCCATCTGCTGGTCCCAACACTTTTAAATTTAATCTGTCCTACCAATGTTTTCTCTATCACTTTTTTTTTATTATTTATTTTATTTGTATTATTTTTAAATTAGACGAGAGAGAGAGAAAGTAAGAAAACAAGCCACC